TTAGGATTTACGGACATTTAGAGAGGTAAAAATTGATTAGGGATAGTCAGCATGGCTTTGTGCAAGGGAAATCATGTCTCACAAATTTGGTTGAGCTTTTTTGAGGAAGTTACCAAAAAGATTGACGAGGGCAGAGCAATAGTCGTAGTTTACTTGGACTTTAGTAAAGCTTTCGACGAGATTCCACGTGGTAGAATCATTAGTAATGTTAGAGCACATGGGATTCAGGGTGAGCTTGCCAATTGGATACATAATTGGCTTAAGAGCAGGAGTCAACAGTAGTGGTGAAGGGTTGGTATTTGGACTGGAGGCCTGTCACCAGCAGTGTTCCACAGGGATACGTTCTGGGTCCTTTTTTGCTTGTCATGTATATAAATGATCTGGATATGAATATAGATGGCATGGTTAGTAAGCTTGTAGATGACACTAAAATTGGTGGCATAGTAGACAGTGAAGATTTTTTAAGATTACTGTGTCCAGTTCTAGTCACCCTGCTATAGAAAGGATACTATTAAGCTGTTCAGGGCTCAGAAGAGAGTTACAGGATTTACCAGGTATGGAAGGTTTGACTTATAAAGAAAGTCTGGTTAGGCTGGGAGTTCTTTCCACTGGACCATAGCAAGTTGAGGGGTAACCTTATCTAAGTTTAAATAATGAGGGGCATAGAGAGTTGATGGTAGTTGTCTTTTCCCCGGGATGGGGGATTTGCAAGACTAAGGGGTTCATTTTAAAAAGGTGAGAGGAGAGAGATTTAAAAGATGATATGCAGGGCAATGTTTTTTGTACAGAGGGTGGCTTGTATGTGGAATGAACTTCCAGAGGAAGTGGTGGATGCAGGATCAAACACAGCGTTTAGAAGACATTTGGATATGTAGACGAATAGGAAAGGTTTGGAGGGATAAGGGCCAGGAGTAGGCAGGTGTGACTATTTAGTTTGGGATTATGGTTGGCATGGACTGGTTGGACCAGAGGGTCTGTTTGCATGCTGTATGACTCTAAGTGGGTCGAGAACCAGGAGACAGTCTCAGAATAAGGGACAACCAATTTAAGACTGAGATAAGGACATTCTTCACTCAGAGGGCAGCGAGTCCTTGGAATTCTCCACCTCAGACGGTTGTGGAGCTCAGTCATTGAATATATTCAACATAGATTTCTAAATATGAAAGATATCAAGATATACTGTAGGAAAATGGCATTGAATCACAAATGTCACAGAAGTTCAATGGCATAGAAAGCGGCTAATTCAGCCCATTGCATCTCCAAAACAGCATCATGGCTTAGGGCATTCTCCTGTCTGGTCCTTGAACTAAGAAAGCCTTCCTTCAACGTGGATCCTGGGTGTACTAATTCCTGGACAAGGTACAGATGGGTAATCAACTTCCAGTTCTGCAGAACTCGAGGCAGTTTCTGGCAAGCTTCCTCAGCTTGCACAAGCTAGCAAGATTGCAGCTGTCCTGTTCAATTTCTCCCAAACGTTTTACACATCAGCCTGAAATATGACAAGTCCTCTCTGGGTGATTGTCCAAGATGCTGAAGCCATCGGTGTGTATACCCTGAAATACCCAAACCCCAGCTCATTCTAAACAAGTATGCAAACATGGCACCCCATGGGAATCTCACTTAGCCACTATTGTCATTCTTGCAGAGATTCACATTTATTGATAAATAATTGTGTTTAAAATCTGAGGTTTTACTCCATTTTACCTTTTATACCTCCAATAGCCCAGCTTCACCATCACGGAACTGCAGTCTACGATGCACATGCCTACAAGGCATAACTTCCAGCCTGTATTACTGATATTTTCTCCAATCATCATGTCCACATTTTCAAAACAGCTTCAATAGTCTCCAAAGTCTTCTTGGCAAGTTCCTTAATTTCTCATCATTCAGGGAATACAAAGAACTGCAGGATGATTGGAAGCACAGGTAGATCGTTAGGCGTGTGCTGCTCAATATATTCTCATTCCTCGGCAGTCCCTCAACACAGAGGATGACTTTCTTCAACTCTAATGCCATGGCTCCAGAGGTGACTATTTCTTTATGACGCGCACATGTTGTTACAGGTGATGTTTGAAAAGGTGGGTGGGTTCCACATGCTCCTTTCATTGTTTGCTCTTGGTCTCCAGTTACTCACTTTCCAGTTTGGCTGGTCTTGGGCAAGAGATTCCCACAATTTCATGGGGATGTGGCATTTTCTCAGGGCGACTTTGAAGCATTTTCTCTGCCTGCCTGGTAACCGCTTGCTGTGATGGAGACATGAGTAGACACCCTGTTTTACAAATCAGCCCTGTGGACAATGTGACCTGCCTAATGCAGCTAACTAACCACGACCAGTGCCTTGATGCTGGAGATGTAGCCTGAAAGAGAATGTTAATGTTGGTGTGGCTATACTGGCAGTTGAGTTGCAGGATTTTGCAGAAGAATTGCGAATGATATTTCTCTTGGGATTTGAGATGTCTACTCTCTGACACATAGAAATGGGCAGGTAACACCATTGGTCTATGGGTCATAAGCTTTGTCATCAAACACACTGTTCCTCAAATAGGTCATGCTGAATTTCATCAATATCTTCCCTTGCCGAGAGGCGGCTCTTGACATACATCAATGGGTTTATGTCGTCCGCCAGCTCACCATTGGACCCTGACAGACAGGAGGCATCACAATGAGGGAGCAGGCTAGAAGAGAATCTATATCTTCAGAGCGGTTAGCCCAAGGCCTGTTCTCTCATTTATCACTGAAAGCGCATCAATGGTTTCGAGCTTGGCCTTAGTGAGCACAACAAACGCTGGCTGTAAAATTTGCTGCTATACACTAGTTTTCTTGGAACTGTCTTGCTGAGGTCATCATGTTCACTGTGCCTCTGGACGGGTGGAATCAACATTGTGATTACAGTAGGGCCTTTTTTAGCCATTGAGAGAAAGTGATTGAGGGGGATCCTAACAAAGACCTTCCCTGTGATGAACAGCACCAACCAGTCTGGCATTACCAGACTCAGTCGACCTCCTTTTCAGAGGATGGTTACAATTATTCATGTCTCAGATCAGATGGATCTCCTCTTTACAGATGGAAGAGGTACAGTCATACATTGTGCCAAGAGTCCTCTTAGACCACAATCCATCTTTGTCAGCAGGTTTCATCCTCATGCCAGGCTGAAATTGTGATGGCAGGTATCATGCTGTGGACTGTTATCAAGGGCATCCAAGTTGAGGACTGAGTCTTGGTTGAGGTGGCCCTCAAAGTGCTCCCTCCAAATAACACACATTGCCCTTCTGTCCTTGATGAGTGATCCCATTCTTATCTGTATGGTAGGTCCTTGGATGTTTGGGCTGTGGCACTGAAGTCAGGGCCGTCAGCAAGCTGTTGGATTTCCTGGGCTCTTTCCACCTGCCATCTGTTCTCTAGATCATACAGAGTTTGTTTTTGTTGGATCTTGCCTTTATTTGTCTGTAAACCTTTATCTTTCCTTGGTATTTTGGTGGAGCTTCCTGTTTAGAATGCCATGTGTTTGCGGTTTAGTAGTTCTTGCAAATATAACAGTCATTAGCCACACGACAAGTTAGGAATCAAGCTGCGGACAAGCTAACTTCTGCTTAGTAAATTATAAACATTTGGGCTCTGAATAATCATTGCACACAATTTTCTTCAATTGTCATGTGTCAGTCGCTGATAAAAAATGTTTTTTGCTAATAAAAAAATGTTATGAGCAAATGCTTTACAACTTTTTTTTCCAATAGTGGTAGAATGTTTAAGTCTTTCCTGCTGACCTGTCATCCTACCTGATTTTGGAAGAACGGTGCAGCAGGAACATGCTGAAGCCATAACACAGAGGTGGATGGATTGAAACCCTCTTCTGCTATTTGTGTTCTCATTACCTGATGAAAACTGGACCAAAAAACAATGGGAGCTCTTGTTGTGCAGTAATAGTGGATGAGGTTCAAGTCCCACCTGCTCCAGAGGCGCTGGCCATCTCCGTATTGTAGGACATACTCTCATGTATAGGGAGTCAATGACCTAATATAATTATTGCTGGACTGTTAATCCAGAGACCCAGATAATGTCCTGGGGACCCAGGATCGAATCCCTCCACAGCAGATGTTGGAATTTGAATTCAATAAATATCTGGAATTAAGAAGCTAATGATGACCATAAATCCATTGATGGGTAAAAACCCATCTGGTTCACTATTGTCCTTTAAGAAAACTGCCATCCTCACCTGTTCTGGCCTATATGTGACTCCAGACCCACAGCAATGCTGTTGACTCAACTGCCCCCTGAGCAATTAGGGATGGGCAATAAATGCTGCCTGGCCAGCAATACCCTTATCCCATAAATGAATTAGAAAAAACTGTTTTCTATTACAATTAGTGTAAAGCCAAACTAGTGTGAACCATAGCTCACCAGCAGCTCATAAGTCATTTCTATGGTAGATTGGCACACCATCGACTGGCTGAAATCCTTAAAAGAAACTGATGTTGAACAGCTAACGAAGAATCCCCACTGTAATCTGGTGCATTCACCATTTTTGACTGCTTAAAAAAATTAATCATTTCCAAAATTCTTAGGGTAACAGAGGGGAAACATAAAAGCATGGATAATTTACCAACACAGAAGCCAGTGATCCAATGCTAATCAGTAATGCGGGATTCACAAGTTATTACCGGTGCCAAATTGAAAAAGGAAGTTAAAGAAAGGACTGCAGGAACAGATTAGATATGAACCATGACCATTGCCAGAATGCATCTCAAATCAACAAAATCACATGGCTAAGGAAAATGATCACATAAATAGGACTCCTAGAATATACTCAAATTTACTGTTCTGTATTAAAATAATATTCTAAAAACATTACTCTCAGGAAATGTCTCCATGTGACCTGGGATCACAGCATCTTGTTTGACCACAGTGGCTTTAGTCACTATCTGCCCCAGACCACTATTCCCTCTCAGCCCCTTACAAACATACCCACAAATAAGAGGTACATATCTCAGAATGCATCTCACCCTGTAGCAGGCGCTCCTCCTGTTGACTGAAGGTAGAGTGGCATTGACGAAGTTGTGGAGAAGTCCGCACCTCGCTCGCCTGGCTTCCCATCTCAGGAGCACCAGGTGGAGCCGAGTGCTCTTAATGGGAAACACAAAAAAGAAGAAATAAGAACAAAACAAAATTCAGTTGGGTTCCCCACCCAGACAGGAGGGCCTGGACCATATACCAGTCAAAGCCAGCACAGAACAGTACCCAGTTGTGGCTCAATGGGTAGTACAGTCACCTCTGATTCACAAAGCTTCCAGGTTCAAGTCCCATCCCTGGGTTCAAGCAGAAAAACCAAGGCTGACACATGAATGCAATTCTGAAGAAGTGCTGCACTGTTGTATGTTCCCTCTTTCAGTTGAGACATTAAACAGAGGTCCACCTGTCCGCTCGATGGCACCATTTCAAACGGGAGCCAATATTTATCCCACTATAAACAATGAGGAACCATGCTAAATCTGGTCATTGCACTTTGCTTCTTTGTGGGTGCTTACTGTTGCTTCACTTCAAGAAAAGTATTTAATAGGCTGCAAAGGCCTTTTGACATTTTGTGAAAGGTGCTTATACAAATCAGTTTTCCTTCATCATTGCCAACATGCATAAGGGTAGACTGTATCATACTGAAGCACAATGCATCTGAAAGGCCTGTTCAAATACACAGAGCATCAAAGCAGATCCACACTATACCTAACCACGGACTGGGCCATCACTAGTAACTGATGTATAATATTAAAGTACAGTTGCCCACACATCTTGCTAAGTACAAAGGCCAACAAGTGAAGAGGGTGCTTTAGAAAGTACAAATTTCCACCATGCCATGTTAACCCAACATAAAATGATAGTGCAGATTTCCAGAAACTGCACTAAAAACAAACAAATGTTCGAAATATTCATTAGGTCAGGCAGCATCTGTGGAGAGAGAAACTGATTCAGCATTTCAGCTTAATAATGGTTCATCAAAACTGTAACTCAAGTATTTCCCAGGTGTCAGGAAGATTACCGCAGGGATAACTGGCTTGTGGTTGCCAAGCATTCATTCATCACTTTTGTTTCTTCAACGTCAGCTACGAAGCAGAATTCGCCAAGCACTGGATCATTCAACCACCAACAGGAAGACAAGCTGGGTTTAGACCACTGAGATACGCGTTTTACCCTAATGATGACATGTAGTTGCAATTATTGAGTAGGACTACTAAAGAGGAGCCACAAGTTTAAACACTGCGTGTGCGCTGACTGCGCAGCCAATGGCACAAAGCTACTACGTATGGGACTATGATTGAACCCATAAAAAGGATGATGTTCAGAAGTTGGAGAGGACAGATGGGCATTGGATGAAATTCAACAGAAGTGTGAAGTGATGCATTTTGATTTTGATTTGATTTATTGTCTTGATATGTCAAGATAGTGAAATTATTGATTAGCTTGCTTTCCAAACAAATCATACCTTGCATAAGTATATCAGGATAATAGAACAGAATGCAGAATATGGCATTACAGCTACAGAGAAAGATCACTTCTAATATATGGGAGGTCCATTCATAAGAAGAGCATGGGTAGACAACATAAAATAAGAGGTACAGTTCTACAGGGAGTAGCAGTAGAGACACACTCCGGTCAATATGCTACATGTCAGTAAAAATGGCAGGTCAGATGGAGACAAAGTTGTTAAGAAAGCATACAGTATCCTCGGCTTTATCAAAAAGCACGTACTAGACAATAGCAAAGAAGTTATGTTGAATTTATACAAGACACTCAAAGTTCAGCTGGGTGGGGTTCTGGGCACCAAGCTTTAGGAAGGATGCGAACATATTGACACAGTACAGGAGAGGCAAACAAGAATGGTTCCAGGGATGAGAAACTTCAGTAATGAGGACAGATTGGAGGGGTCAGGGCTATTCTCTTTTGAGTGAAGGTGACGAAGAGGAGATCTGATAAAAAAAAGTTTTCAGAATCTTGAATGATTTAGACAGGGGAAATCGGGAGAAACTGTCCTGGCTTGTAGAAAGACAAAGAACAAGAGAGCGCAGAGTTAAAGTGATTTGTAATTGTGATGTGAGAAGAACCCTTCTCTCACAATGGGTGGTGAAATAACTCGAGAGGCCGATACTCCATCACCGAGTCACTCTTCATTTATATGGAGAGTCCTTGACACTGATCCAGCTTCCTCAGAGTGAACAGAACCTGACAATCCTGTTTATATCTGTCAGCCAGGGCTCCTTGACGGAGCCAGATTAACAGCCCCAATTAGGGAACTCATTCTATAAAGGTCCACTTGGCTGGCCTCATTACAATCACTACAGGTGGTTTGGATCTAGCAGTGGGGAGGTTGCTGGTTCAATTAAGACATGCAAGAGGGCATTGAATCATTATTTGAGTAGAAATAAAGCAGAAGAGTATGGGGGGATAGGCTAGAAAATGGCACAAGATCATAATGCATTGGAGAATCAATGCAAACACAAACGGGCTGATTAGCTTCTTTAAATACCATGACAATCTGTGATTCAGTTAATGGTCCTGATAAACTTTGATGAGGTCACTGACCTGAAACATTCATTGTTTCTTTCTCCACAGATGCTGTCTAAAATTTTCTAGAATTTTTTTAAAAATCTGAATGACTCAGCTCTTCCTTGGGGTCTTTTGCTGATGGGCTGATGCTCTAACTGCGAAGCTGAAATAGAAGAAATCTTATTCAGAGTTTCCACGTCACGGACTTCAGCTAAGTCCACATCTAACAACGTGCTCTGAACACCGAAATTTTGAAGACCGAGACATTTTCCAGTACAACAGCCAAGACAATCCACAACTTCGAAAACAGTCAGCATTATAAGTCAAACAACCCATACTATTCTTTAAAAACAACAATTCACCAAGTCTCCCAGCACTGACAGATTATTTAGAAGCCCAAAATCCAGATCTACATTGCTATCAAAAATGACTCACTTCTTCCGTGGGACGTATCCGATGTTTCCTTGAAAACTGACCATTGATTTTTTGAGTTACATTGTTAATCTGTTTGTCTGTAAACAAACAGGTGAAAACATTACCTCAGACCACCTTCAATGTCAGCTGTATAACTCAATGCCCTTAAAAACAATGGGCTAGAGTCCTAAAGAAATAGCCAGATGTGTCACTTATCCAAAGCTCTCAGTTTGGGAACACAGAAAATAGGAGGAGAAGGAACACTGGCCATTCTAGGCTGCCTGCTCCACTACTCATCTCAGACAATGGATAATCTTCTACTTCAACTCCCCTTCCTTCCACTATACCTACATCCCTTACTAACTTTTACTGTAGAAAAAACATTGCTTATCCTACAGGTGAATCAGATTTCATGAGCCAAGGACAGTGCAGGAATAGATGTGGAATATATTGAGGTTATGCTACTAGTACAAAGTGCCTCCATTACACATCTTTCCCCCTCAACCACAATGATTTTATTAAGAGCAGTAGCACTGTAAATCTTACCGGACTAGTAGCTGGAAAATTCAGCACTACATTATTACATAAACTTAGGATGAAGAGTAAGCATCAGTAACAGTGACTAAGTAATAACTGGATTATTCTAAGAGCTCATCTGATTCACTGACGTCCTTTAGAGAAGGAAATCTGTCAGCCTTGCTTACAAGTCTCGGGAAGACGGTTAACTCTTCACTGTCCTCTGAAATGGCCTCATAGGTTGCTCAGTTGTCAAGGCAGTTCATTCCCAATTACTTGTGAGCAATGAAGAATAAGCAATAAGTGCTGGTCTTACCACTGACACCCAGATGCTCTCCTTGAACATGCTTTGCCGTAACAAGAGGCAATGAAGGAAGTCTTGTGGTCCAGTAGTTGCATCGCTGCCTCAGAAGTAGAAGCTCCAGGTACAAGACCGATTCCAGGACTCTGGCCACATTGTGAACTTTGTTCCATGGCAAAACAGATTCATTATAAACCTGCAAAACCCTCCAACAGACCCAGTATGGCAGGCAGCACCAGTAGGAGAGACTCCTGAGTCAGGAATGTTTGCTATGGACCACCGCCCCTCACCCACACCCACAATCTCTGGTAGCGTGCTAGCAACCTGTTATGGGGAAAAAAAACTAGCTATGGAATATAGGCTCAAGAATGTGTTACGTCTGCCCAAGACACACAAAAACAATCAAGGGGAACCAGTAGAAATGGAACCCAACCAAATAAAAAGACACAACTGAGGGGGATAGAATGAACTGTAAGGCCAAAGGAATGCAGAATTTTCAAATGTTTATTGACATTTTTAAAGCTGTCAAAGAATTTGGGGCAACAGTACAGAAAAGAATACTGAGAAAGCATTGTTTTTGGATGAAACATTGAACAGAAGGGGCCTCATTCAACTGCTAAGGCAGATTACAAGATGCACTGGCTGAGGAGTCAGAAACCACAAGCAGTGGTCACCATGTATCCCTCACCCAACATCAGTAAAAAGCACATTTGTTGGTCAAGTGTTGTATTTTCCTGACAGTTTTGCTGCCATGTTTGCCAGCTTAACAGTAACAACACTATAACATAGTCAAATAGCACCTTTATCACAATAAATTAGCCCAAGGCTTTTCAGAGGAGCATTATAAAGAAAAATGTGACAGTAGATTATCTAAAGTCGAGACAAAGAGGTAGTCTTTAAGGACTGTCTTAAAGCAGGAAAGTGGACGAGGGACAGAGGAGTTTAAAACTTGGAGATTTAACTAAACCCAAGACACCTGCAATTGGAATCTGGGGCGGTCAAGGTGCACAGAGATCTCAGATGGTTGTGGGAATGAAGGTTAGAGAGTGGGGTGAGTCAGGCCACAAAGGGATTTGAAAATAAAGAGGAGAGGAAGTATTTGTTCAGAGAACTGCTAACAATGTCAGCTAACACTGGAGCCAGGAAGGAGGTTATTGAGTGATCAGCAGAATAGGATCTAGGATGTAAGATCAGAGTTCCATGATCAAAATGAGCTCAGAAGGCATGAGGAGAACTGAGTTAACAATAAGAGTTCAGGCCAAGGGCAGGGAAGGGCTTTAAACAAAATTTGTTCTAGTAGGCGGCAGATGCAGCTGATTGGATGGTCTTAATCTTAGTGACAAAGAATTGCGAGTT